TCACAGTATCAGAGGATACAATACAAACTGCTGAGGGAGAAAACCAATCAGTGGTCCAACCCAGCTGTAAAGTTTATGAACCACAACTATGACTGGCCCAGCAAACTATCTCTATTGGTGCTGTAGTGGCACTTCTATCTTGGGGGTAATCAACAGCTGACTAATTGGACTTTAGGCCCACTTAATGGGAGGGAAAGAGACTCCCCAAATAACACAGGATATTGCCATACTCCTTGATTACCTCCCAGAGCTTGACGGTAAGATCCTATTGCTGAAGACAGGACAATCTTTGGACACAGGACTTGGGACAATCAAGCTGGAACTGACCTGGAAGCCTTCTCCCTGAACATTAGCTCTCACAGTATCAGAGGATACAATACAAACTGCTGAGGGAGAAAACCAATCAGTGGTCCAACCCAGCTGTAAAGTTTATGAACCACAACTATGACTGGCCCAGCAAACTATCTCTATTGGTGCTGTAGTGGCACTTCTATCTTGGGGGTAATCAACAGCTGACTAATTGGACTTTAGGCCCACTTAATGGGAGGGAACTCAAGTGTGGTACTGTAAACACAGCCTAATATACATGATTGGAGAGGCCATAGATCCTAGAGAAAAGCCTATGTCTGTCTTGTCCCTAGACAAACATAATTTCTTACTGTATGCTAAGTATGTATCTATATTTTACAAATAAGTATAGCTCTCACCATTCATCAAAGAATCTTCTTTTTGCAACTGATGGAGACTATTCCAGAGTTCTACAACTGGTCAAATGCTGAGAATAAGTGTCTGTGAGATGCATAGCCCTAAGTGACACATCTACAATGGAACTTATACACCTAAGACTCAGGGAACATAGTATAATAGGGGCAGAGAAAATATTAATACATTGTTTTTTCAACCAATACAATTGGTCCCTGTAGAGGCCAGAGGGCACCCTCACCTGTAGTTCATCTCAGACACTGTCTACCTTGTTTTTTAAAATCTGGAACTTGCCCCAGGGATCCTTCTGTCTTGCCCTCCCAGCTCTAGGATTATAAACTCATTTCACCCAGTTTTTTACATGGGTTCTGAGGAGCAAAGTGAAGTCCTACTTACAAGGCCACACCTTGCAGCTAAGCATCACCTCAGCTTCCACCTCTGGGTGTCTCTACAAATGCCCTCTTGGGTTCAGGATGTGAGTGAGTGGTAGATTTCAGCTTCCTCCCTATGACTCCAGCCCTATGGTCTGCTCTGTGCCCCATGCCCAGCTGGGGGGGGACCCAGGACCTGTCATCTCTTGGCATTGGTGTCTTCCACTCAACATAGCACACTTGGGATCATCTGATTAAAGGAGCAGGTCACCTTCCATGGCTGTGGCTCAGCAGGAAGCTTTGGAAGTAGGAAGTGCATCTTCCCAGTTGGCTTTTCCTTTCCTGCCTGTCTTGCCCCACCCAGCAGCCTCAGCATTAAGCATGCCTGGCCCTAACATAAACATCTATATTTTTTTAAGATATAGTTTTATGGGGCTGGAGAGATGGCTCAGCAGTTAACAACACAGACTGTTCTTACAGAAGACCCAGGTTCAAATCCCAACACCCACATGGCAGCTAACAACTGTCCTAACTCCAGTTCCAGGGGATCCAACGGCCTCTTCTGTTTTCAGCAGGCATTGCATGGCACAAGTGCACTTACCTGTATGCAGGCAATACAAGCATACACATAAAATAAAAATAATAATTTTTAAAAGATATGTTTATTATTTTGTAATTATGTGTGTATATGCACCTGAGGAGGCCAGAAGAGGTTGTTGGATCCCCTGGAGCTAGAGTTACAGGCAACTGTAAGCTACCTGATGTAGATGCTGGGAATGAAACTTGGGTCCTTGGTAAGAGCAGCATATGCTTGTAAATCACTGGACCATCTCTTCATCCTCAAGTGTTTTTGTTCATGTGGGTTTTCTTTTCTTTCACTGTTTTAGCAATGTTCTTCAGGTCTTAGGGGGTAATCTTACACCTTCTTGCATAAATTTATTCCTATTTTGTTCTCTGGACTGTTACAGATGGAGAATTCATTCCTCGTGGTTGCTTCTTGCCTGTGCATAGGAACACAACTGAGCTTTCTCACGTGTTGTCTGTATGGTGCCACTTGGCTAAGTTTATCAACAGTGCTTTCTTCTCTGCAGACTCTTCGGTGTGCTGCTGGGGCATCTGTGAATAGGGGCAGTTTTGTTAAACAGATCATCTAGGGTTAGAGATTTTCGTGGTCATGTCTATCAGATTTGCTGGTCTCCGTTTTCTTTCTTTTTAAAAAAAATTGTTTTTCTCTATTTAAAAATTTTATTTATTATTTTTATTTTATGTGTATGTGTGTATTGCCTGCATGTAGGTAAGTGCACCTGTGTCGTGCAATGCTCACAGAGGTCAGAAGAGGCTGTCGGATCCCCTGGAACTGGAGTTGCAAACAGCTGTTAGCTGCCATCCGGGTGCTGGGATTTGAACCCAGGTCTTCTGCAAGAACAACCAGTGTTCTTAACCACCGAGTCATCTCTCCAGCCCCTATTTTTTAAATTTTTATTTAAAAAATGTTTATTTTAATAGTATTTCATTTTATTTGAATTTAATGTGGTTTTCAATTTTTTAAAATTTGTTTTTATGTGTATGAGTGTTTTGCCTGCTTGTATGTAAGTGCTCCTGTGTCGTGCAGTGCCCATGGAGGTCAGGCGAGGGTATTAGATCCCCAGGAACTGGAGTTACAGACAGTGGTTAGCTGCCATGTGGGTGCTGGAAAATGAATGTGGGTCTTTTGCAAGAACAGCCAGTGCTCGTAACCACTAAGCCATCTCTCCAGGCCCTTGATGTGGTTTTTGCAGTTTTACAGATTGAACCCAGTACCTCACACAGGCTAGGCAAGCACCTGGAGTGCTGACCTATGACCATGGAGCTGCATTCTTAGCCATCTTTTTAAATTTTGAGTCCGTGGCCTTGAACTCTCTCTGTGGCCATGAAGACCTTGAACTCTTGATGCTCCTGCTTCAGCCTCCTCGTAGCTAGGTTGACAGACCTGTACCATCAGGCTTTCCTTGGTTTAGTTTTCTGGAAGTGTCTTTGCCTTCACTCAGTGTCTGCCTACTGTGCTGGTGTCAGTGGGTGAGGAAGGGCTTCCTTCTCCCTTTCTCTAAAGAGTTTGGGAAGGGTGTGTGCTAACCCTTCACATGTCTGCTGGTGCTTCCTGGTCCTCTTTCAATGCTGGGTGGTCATGACTACCTGCTTCACGTTGGATGTCTAATTTGCATGGACAGTTGTTCCCAGCATCCTATTGGATCCTCTTTATTCCTGAGAAGTTAGCAGGAATGTCCTCTATTGCGTCTCCCAGTTTCATGACAGGACTCTGGTTTTAGTTTCCGTGTGGCGGCTTGTCAGCATGACTCTTTTCAGATCATCAGCTTCTGGGGTGTTGGTTTGCTCTGCTGTTTCACACTCCCTAATCCTCATTGTCTTCAGCCTGCTGGAGCTTTGAGTGCGACCTGCTCCCCTTGTCTGGTTTCTTCAAGCGCACGCTGAGACCTTTGATGTGAGCTCTTCCTGTTCTAGGCTTTGAAGCTATGGGTTTCTTCTTGGTATTTGTCTCCAGCATTTCGTAATCTCCCTTGTGAATTCTTCTCTGACCCAAAGTGTGGTTTTTATTATTTTTGTTTTTGTTTTGTTTTATAGGTGTTTTTTTCTCTGCCTGTGTGTGCAGGTGCCCATGTGTATGGAGGTCAGAGCTCATCAGCCTCAGGTGTCATTCCTCAAAGCTCTTTCTACCTTTCATTTGAAGCAGAGGCTCTAGCTCTCTGATCTGGGGCTCACCAGATCAGCCAGAATAGCTTACTGAGCCCCGGGGATCTAGGGATCCTCCTGTCTAGTCCTCCACAGCTTTTTGTGGGGGTTCTGGGGATTCAAACTCAGTTCATCATGCTTGCCCAGCAAGCACTTTACCCACTGAGCCAGCTCCCTAGCAGGAGCGTATTGTGTAACCATCGCCTTCTAGCCTTCCCTCTGCCTTTGATTTCAAACTTCATTTATGACAGCAATACCATTAAATTAATAGCTTCAACTTACTAATACTTGTTTTGTGACCACACATGTGTGCTGTTCCAGGTCAGCCAGGGCTGCATAGTGAGATCCTGTCTCAGAAAATGAGGTGGGGGCGGGTCTCATGGGGCACAGTGACTGGGGTTAACAGTGTCTCATCTTTTCCTTGAAAAGAGCTGAGTGGATTGTGAGTTTTGCGTCTGTTACAGAAGGCTGTGTTCTCCCATTGAGTCATTGATGAGTTCTGATGGTCTAGCTGGTTCACAGTGTTGCATCCTTCTGCCTCACTGTGGGTCTTCCTGGTCGTTGTCCATTCCTTACTGTCCATTCCTTACATCAGGTGTGCTCTGTACCTACAGTCACCCTCCCTTGCAGAGTCTCATTAGCATTTGACACTACAGAATCTTTTCTAAAGCTGGATTTCTTGAATATGTTGTCCAGTTCAAAATGCTCTCTGATTTCCTTAATCCCCTTCCTGAAACAGTGTGTTGTTTTGATGTACGGAGTCCCATCCCAGGCGGTAGTTTCTGGTCATTTTGCCCCTCTGTCTTTAGTTCTCTCATGGTCTCTGGACACTCTGCTGGTCTTTGGAACCCCTGCTCCATTGTTCGTAGGTGATGTGGTTCGTGTGCCGTTTTGTTGTCCTAAGGACTCCTGAGGTTGGTTTCTTCTCCTGTGTGTGGTCACTTTCCACAGTGGACCAGTGGGTCTAGGACACAGGTTTCTTGTGTGGTCTGCTCTTGACGGTTTCTTACCTGCTTCTAGCCAGGCTGTATTGTCACATGACACCCTTAGCTTTAGCTCTTCTACCTGAACAGGTGCTGCCCATCCCCTGCCCCCCCATGCCTTGCTCCCTTGGAATCACTGCCATAGCGATTAAGTTCTATCAGCTGTCAAGCTGTCATGTCACAAGGGGCACCTGGTCATGTCCCAATCTTCTTGCAGGTTGAAGGTGGAGGAACTGGAGAGTGAGCGGAACCACCTGGAACAGGAAAAGCAGGCTCTGAAGATTCAGATAGAGAGGTGTACCCTCCAGGTAGGTCATGGGAGAGATGTGCCCTACTTCGGTGTTCCCAGGACTTCCTCCCCAACACCACCCTTCCCTTGTGGGGAGTTACTACTGGGGTCTGTAGACCATGGGCCTGTGTCACCTACCAGCCTCTTCAGGCCCTTGGTTTCCAACGCTGACCTTTGGTGCCATCTTCATCACCCTGCCTCCCTGCAATGTGACCTTCACTCCTGTCTTCATCCAGCTGGTTTCTTTCTCTTTAGTTTTCTTCCTCTGGATCACACTGCCCATGGCAGGAAGCCCATGGGTTGGAGATCACCCCGTTTCTAGACAGGCCATTGATTTTTGGCTTGGCACCTATTAGAGGCAATCAAATCATGTCCCCATTACCAATCCTGGTGATGGGAGAGGTGACAACTTTGATGAAGTGAGGTGTTCTGTGCCACAGCTGCACTGTGTGCCCAGTCCCAAGACCTGTCATCTTGTGCTGTTCTAATTGGGTCTCTGTCCTGGCTGAGGGCTACTGGCAGGTGGATCATGGCCGCCTGGCTGTAGCATTGCATCAGGGCGGAATGACGAACGGCCTTCAGTTTAGCTAGATGGGTAGAACCTGCGGTGTGGCTCCTGGGCCTTCCTGCAGATTGGGATACAGGGTGGCCTTCCCTATACTCAGTACCCTCTGTCTTTATCTGGGCTTTCAGGCCTTTCCACCGGACATCCTACAGCAGCCTGGGAGAGGAGTCGGTGGGATGAGATCATGGGTGCCCTGTCTCTGTGAAGGATGCTGGGCTCCACTGTCCTATGGAACTCCAACTGCTCTTGCCCAAATGTTTCTCCCCAGCAGGGGCTGGAGGAATGCCAGTGCTCTGTGCCATGAGTGGGTGACATGAAAGGGGGACTAATGAGATTTTCTAAGCCCAGCACAGGTGTTCTGCACTGCTCAGAGCTGGAGGTGGGCCCCTCCCTGGAGGCCAGGGTACTGTCAGTTCATGTCCACACTTGCTTTGTGCTGCTGTGTAGAGTGGGGACCCTGTATGCATGCAGGCACTGAGTTCGTAGATGAACTCTGCCCACAGCATGACTGAGAGCAGGGTGGAGGATGGAGCCTGACAGTCCTGAAGAGCAGTGTCCACTGATAACCGGGGACCCAGGAGTGCTGTGTCCATTTGACACTGAGGATTGAGGGAGGGAGCAAGTAGGCACCTGTTGCTTTGGTCCTCATAGTGGTGGAAACTTCTAGACGGCCCTGCAGCCACTTCCGTGTCTGCCCTGCAGGCTGTGAGTATAGTCCAAAAACAGGGTTTTCCATAGCCAGACTGAGGGAGACATGGCACCTGACTCCTTGGTGGGCTTCCTTCACCTGCTTTTGGGTCTGGGTTGCTAGAGGACTGTGGCAGAAGGCCCCCCCTGACTCCTGTCAAGTCCCAAGCCACCCTCTCCCCTTGCCAGTACTGGAGCTCAGCTGGCCTCCACAGGTAAACACATTTCAGGATGGCCAGGTGATGGCCAGAATCCACAGGCCCAGCTCCACACCCCACCTTGTGCCACACACACTGGAGCTTTTTCCAGGTGAGGTGCTGCTGCCCATTTTCCTAGAGGGAGGAATAAGAACTCAACAAGTTTGGTCTTGGGAGCCTGGCCAGGTCCTATATCCCTTTGTTTCCCCCCACACCCTGGTCAGATCCTCATGGGTGGGCTGCCTGGCAGCTGGCTATCTGCTGGATGATTAAGTCTCCCTCCCAGGTCACCAGACTCAGCTCAGGGGCTCCAGGCCAACTGTAGGTGGTTATGGCTACTCCAGACTGCATCTGCTCTGTGTGCCCAGCTTCAGTCAGGTCTGGTCAGGGGGGTTGTACACCCAGGGCTGAACTGGCCCTACATTGGTCACCTATGGTAAGAACAGTTTCCATGAACCCCCTGTGTCAGTACTAGCCCCTCCCCTGCTATCATCTCTGTGTGCAGGAGCAGTAAGTTGATTTCCCATCTGAGCGCCAGTGTCTCCTTAATAAGGCTGAAGTGATGGCACCCATCTGAGGGTTCTTGAGGGGATCCCATGCCACAGCCTTCCCACCACCCTGGACACATAGCAGACGCTCGGCATATATATATACGCTCTGTCGGCTTCCTCACTTCCTTCATCAAGGGCAAAGACCATGTCCAGGTGATATGTCTACCCTGAACCTGGGCCTGTCGGGCACTGGGAAAGAGCCATCTCTCCTGGGGCTTATCTCTGTGGCTTGGCTATAGCACTTGATGCAGCCCCTTCTCTACCCTGCCTCCTCTATGCACACCTTGTAGGCACAGCCCTGTGAGCTCAGGACAAGGGGCTGTAGAGATACGCGGGTCCAGAAGCCAGCAGCACTTGGCCAGCCTCTACTCTGCCAGGAGCCTCGCTCATGTGCTCAGTATGCAGGCGGCCTCCTGCTCTCCGTCTCTTCTCCTCGCTCATTCCTTCCTTCCAGAGAAGAGTGGCTTCGAGTTGGCGCTTCAACGAAGATTGATTAAAATCAGCTGCGGTTCATCTTTAATTGGGAACATATGCTCGGAGAGGGCGCTCAACTAGTTAGAATTTTTTGTAATTAGTTCACAGCTGGTTGGTGAAGAAGCGAAACTCTGGTTACCACTTAGAGCTGGGTGTGTGGGCAGTCTCGGGGACAGGTCATTGCAGTGGCCTACTTGGGGCCTGGCCAAGGTAACACCATTCCTCCCAAGGGTCATTGGCTCTCTGTACACTGCCCAGGATGACCTGTATGTATTGCTAATATAGTCAGGAGATGGGAAAGGGTACCAGGGTCTGCCTGCCTAGTGAGACTGCTCACCAGCCAGCTGGGTAGACAGCATGCTTGTGGCTCACATGTGATCCCAGCACTGGGGAGGCTGAGGCAGGAGGACTGAAAATTCCCGGCCAAGCCTGGGTTACCCAAAGGGGGAAGAAGGGAAAGAGAGGGGAAAAGCCACAGAAGGCCCTACTCAGAGTTGGGGGAACTGAGGCTGGCCCATGAAGGAGGAGCTCAGAGCTACCTTTTTAGAGGCAGATAAGGTTTGTTTTAGCGTGTTTGTTCTTTACAAAAAAGAAAAAATGAGTAGAGTTGGGTAAACCCCAAAGAACTCAAGTCCCCAGCTATAGGAATAGGCAGGAGATTTGCAGTCTCTGTCCTGCAGAGACTCTGTCCTACATCCTCTGGGTGCAGGGGCAGTACAGCTTTGTTCAGGTACTACCTGCTCCTCATGGCCTCCTCTCAGCAAGAAGAGGCAGGGCCCCCACCAATGTGCTTCTGATGGGGCTGGTCTGGGTACTGTGGAGTCAATGAGGACAGGCCTGTCAGGGGCTCTGGCCACTCTGGGCCACAGAGGAGCCTGTCCACAGGATCGCCTGCCTGGACTGGATGAGGGTCACCCCCTCAGGGCAGGTCATTATCCCTGCCCGGTTCTTTCCATGTGGAACACACAATGCTGACTTAGCCCTGGGGCTTGTCTGTACCCTCTTGGGTCCCTCCTCGTGGGCAGTAATGGTGGGGCTGCCTTGGAAGACCATTCTATCACATTCCCCCAGGGTTTTACTGTGAGTGTTTTCAAGATGAAGTTTAAAGACTTTTACAGTGAATGCCCGCTTACCCAACACCTACATCCTGTGGGGAACGGCACAGTCCCTGCTGTATGACACCCCTACCCATCCCTCTGCCACCCATCAGTCCATTTTATTCTTTTGATGCATTTGAAGCTAAATTGCAGACATCTGTACACTTCCTCTAAGCACTTGAGCATGCATGTAATTAAGTGAATTCATCTCTGGAATCTGACGCCCCAGCCCCCCACTGAGCTCCTGAGTGGGGGGCTGCTGGGCCTTGGACCTCAGAACCAGGCCTCTGAGCTAACCATCCTCTGTGGGACCCCTCTAAGCCTGACTTGGCTCACTCCCACAGCCAGAGGAGGCTGGGCTGGTGTTGGTGGCTGGGGCCTCCTTGTAGCCTGCCTTAAAGCACCACTCAGGAAAGAGCCCAGACGGCTGCCCAGTGACATTTAAAATCAGTGTATCTTTTTTGGAAATGGAGTGGGCAGAAAATTGCTGGGTTTCCTGGGAGCGGAAAGCTCCCAGCACTTGCCGACATCCCTGCTCCTGTCTGCGTCATAGGCAGCAGCAGGCGGTTAGGGCACCCAGCCTTACAATGTCAGGGTGTCACTCTCCATGAGGCACCCATGTGGGGAGGCAAGACTGTGAGACTGCTCTGGGTCATCGGGGATCTCTGGATCCCAGTGCTCTAGGCCATAACAGCACCCATCTCTCCTGACCCCCAGTTCCAGTTCCAGCCTGACTGCTGGGCATTCCTACTTAGGTTTCAAAATGACCCTGAGGAGGTCAACACCCCCCCACGCCCATCATGTGAAGGTCATAGAAGGTAGTTATGTGCCACAGGGCAAGGAGTGGCACACCAGCATCCAGACTTAAGAGCTGAGACTCATGCTCCCCCTGGAGCATCTTACAGTCCCCAGCCACCAGTCTCTGTCAGCCACTTCTTCCCTGAGCACTAACCAGGATGTCTTGTGAGTCCCACAGAACACCCGCCCCCTTACACTTCATACAGCAAAGCCCAGACTGTGGGGACTAACTGATGCCCCTCTTACTCCTGGCTTAAAACCATTAGCCATGACCAGCAACTCCCAGCCTTCTCAGAGCAGCCTTGGCCAGTAGTACCCCTAAGGCTGCTCAGACCAGCCTTGGCCAGCACCTGCCTGGTGGATGTCCATGAAGCCTCTGCTACCTCAGTATTTGACACCCTCCAGAAAGGGGGGCAACGTTGGGCAAAGATGAGTTCAGTGTCCCCCTTGGCCAGGACCTCCAGTGCAGATCCCTGTGGCAGTGGCCATGCCTGCCCTGCAGACTGGAAGTCTTGACTAGAATCATGGGAAAACATGAGCTTGAAGATTTAGTGTCTTGTGCGTGTTCACTCTCCTTGCTCCAGCATGCTGGGGACTCCTTTGAGTCTCACAAGAACAGGTCCTGTGTGCTGTCTTTTAGGTGGGGAGAC